CAAGGGAGTAGATATTTTTAAATAATTCTGTAGGGTACGATGGCCACTTGTATACCTAATCCTGAATTGTACCCCACATTTTTAAAATAAAAAAAAGAATTCTATAAGTGTTCTAATATGGTGCTAGAAGTACAGTGTTATACAGCCCTCAAGCACTGGGGTACATGCTAATGTCAGGGATGCCTTAAATGCGCATTCTGTTTAGACCAGTCATTTCATAAACATGTACTGATCACCCACAAGTCATCAGGCATGTATTAAGTACTGTGCTATCCTTGACTTCCCAATTTAAAATTTTTCCTAATATACTTTCACCCTTTGCTATCTTATCCTTTATTTTCCTCCTTAGCATTCATTTCCTCTAACCCAGTACATAGTTTGCTTACTTAAATTTTCTCACTGTTTGTTTCCCCTCACTAAAAATACAAGTTCCACAAATACAGAGATATGTGTTCTTTGTTGCTCTATCCCTAGTGCTTAGAAATAGTGTCACGCATTTGGTCGGTGCTTAATAGATATCTCTTGAAGTGTTATCTCACATCTTACAATCCTCAGTGAGAACTGAGATTGTCTTTATTTTACACTTGAAATTGGTGCTGGGAGGAGCTAGGGAATTCACTCAAGATTACGCAACTTGTAAGGAACAGAGTCATGATCCAAGCCCAGGTAGGTGTGACTCCTGCCCTGTTCGTCTTCTACTTCGTCCATCTGCTTGTCCTGCCATACCCACATGGACCTCAGCAGTCTACGTGACTCGATTGGGACTTGTTGATCTGTAGAACAGTCTAAGATTGAGTGCTGCCAGCCCACCACACTGCAAGTTGAGGAATTTGATAACAGAGGGTGGGGGTTGGGAAAGAAAGGAAGGAGAGTGGCCAAGTAAATATCCCCAAATAATCAGGCATCCTCTGAGGTGTGTATAAATATATATTTGCCAAAACCTTGTAAGTGTGTCCCTACCAGAGAATTGTTTTAATGAGGTTTTAAAACTTGTACCCCACCCTTTTTTTCTTGGTAAATCATTGCTCTTGTTAAATTTATACAAATCCTCCACCAAATGAGTGGAAATGGTTGACTTAGTTCTCTGGTTTGCTTTTGTATGATCTGTTTCTGGTAAGCAGTGATTTTTTTTTTTTCCTGGTCTGTTATGGGCCTCTTTACAGAGTAATCATCTGTCATTTCAAAGAAATATAAAAAGCTAAAGAAGAGACGAGTAAGCTGTGTACAGTGAAGTCTTTAAAATGTCAACTGCAGATCGGCAGCTGGGAAACAGGGTTAGACCTAGAAAAGATTTCAGAAGGTCTCGCTTCTGGCTCTTGCACATGCTATAACTCAAGATGAATGAGACTGATGTCACCTTGGTCTGACATAATTCAGGAATGAGATATTCCATAGGGAAAAAAATTGCAAATAACTACAATTTATCCTCAGCATCCAAATTTTGGGTTCATTTACTTTAGCGTCAAAAACATTAATTCACACAGAATTTAAAAACTCACACAGAAACTCACACAGAAACAAAGATCTGAATATCACATGTTCTCACTCATAAGTGAACCTTGAACAATTATCATAATACTATAAGAAAAGGATTGGCAGTAGTGGGAAACTGCCGGGGGGAGGAAAGGCGGGATTAGCAGTAGTGGGAAACCTCAAGGAGAGTGGGGGCCACACCTCATCATCAAGCGTACCTGCATAACCAACGTTTGTATACCTAACCCTGAATTGTACCCTACATCTTTAAAATAAAAAAAAATTTTTTTTGAACTCACTTTCTGGGGACAGAATATCCAGAGCATATTCATTTTGATATTTTTGTGTATTTAAAAAAAATAAGGTTGGAAAACAGGTGCTGGCGCTTAGAAAATAGGGTTCTAAGGCCCCTACCCTACCTTCAACAATAGTAAGAATGGTTTATGTTTTTCTTAGGGAGCATCTGTTTATGTATACATGTTTTCTATCTGTTTGTTGTTCACTTTTGCATCTAATGACCTCAAGCTACTCTACTCAGTTTCTTGAGTTGTCTTTTTTTTTTTTTTTTTTTTTAATCACTTTCTTAGCATCTTTCTTGTCAAGTGTTGTCAGTGATTATTTTTGGACACTCCCAGGGACCTTGCCTGGAACAACAGGAATCTCTTTCATTTTCCCCATACCTCTCCTGTCCTCTTGCCCCTGATTTTAATTTGCTATTTCTACTCTACTAGGAGTTGGTTAACAAGTAACAAAGTTTTTAAAAATTAAGTTTAAATTGATAGGATATGAAAGATTTTTCAATAAAATATTATAGTGTTTTTAGATGGCAACAAAATTAATTCTGTCTACTGTAATTGAAAATCAGTCCTATTTATACACTCACTTCTTATGCTGGACTTTTTAGTGATTAATTCTTATTTACTTCCTTTTTTCTTAGCAATTGTCTGAATCGTCATGATCACTTCCTGTTACAGTTTATTTCCTTATACATATAAAAGTTAAAACTTTTGTACTATTTATTTCCTTTCCAAATCAAAGCCTACTTTAAGTGTATATTTGACTTAGAATAGCTTATATTTAAATTATTACTAATATTTTATATGGGATGATATTCTATGTTTTGAAATTATATTAACTTTATACCATATGATCTCATTGATTTGAATAACAGAAGAAAATCCAATCAGAATTAGCAAAAAGCAAAATATGGAGTCAGTTAAAGGCATAATATTTTATTCTCCCAGGTCTCTGAGATAGCAGTGCAAAGACCTTGGTGGGTATCTACCATATTTTCTTTCTTTACTCAGTGTTATTATAATGAGTAAGATTTGGTGGCTAAGAAAGCCTGGCCAGTGTTTGGAACTTGCATGAATGAGTAGATAAGGATGATTTGTAATTAGCATATAATTATACTAGAATCACATATTTACAGAATCTATATGTAGATATACTTGCTTAGCCACACATCCCTGTGCCCCATCAGTCCTCAGCAGCAAGAAGGTAGCAGAGGTGCCAGAAGAAAGACTGGGAACCATCTAGGGCATGCTGCATCTTTTATTCCAGAATGAGGAAATAGAATTAGGGAGCCAAAGGATCTTGCTCCTTTGTCCATAAAATGAAATTGAGATGCCAACAACGACTGTTTAATAGTGGTATAGGTTGCCTTGCAATTCAAATCCTCCCTCCCTCCATCCCTGGGGATCTCTTCCAGGGAATTACGGGATTGAGTGGTAATGTAGACTCCTTCTGCCCCTAAAGTCTGTGATCCCACAATTCCTCAGAGTGTACGATTCCTCTCTCCCACAACCTCAGAGCGCATTGTGAGACATGTTAAGGACATGTTCCCCCAGAAAATAGCCTCCATATGAGGAATCCTGGCATAAGAATTTTACTAGATGTTCTCAGGGCATTGCCATGATTTTTTGCTGTTTTTTCTCTCAAGGCTATTCAGCACATCTTTTAAGGATAATTCCAATTAAGATGATATGCTTGTAAAACATATATTTACCCAACACAGGACACTCAGTTACTATTCCTTTTCTGCAGAATGAAAATGCAAATGATCGCTTACACAGGCATCTTAACTCAACTAATTTGTTTAATCCTGCTTACTTCTTTTCTCCAGAGGTTAACGAGTCCAAATCCTCCCTTCTTGGTTCTTACATCAACTTATATAGCCTCATCACACCTCACAAGGGAAATGCAAAAAGGACATGGAATTGTGTTCCCTGCTTTCTTACTGCTGAATACAAATGTAGAAGCTCTGATTTATTAAATATTCTGGTTCAGAATGTTTCCAATCACTTTATATACTTGACTGGTTCATCTTCCCTTTTTATGATCTACGACCCTACACCAAAGCCCAGCAAAGTGAAGTTATTTGTTCCTGTGAAATAAGCAATGCAAGCAGATGGTGACCTAAACATGTTAGGGCAAAACAAAGCCTGTCTTTCTACACAGTGTAAGAAACAACTGATTAAAAGTTTTCAGCTTACTGGAACTTTTTGAGGGAACTAAACAGTTCATCACCAGTATAGTTTTCCTCAAAGTTATTTTGCTGCTTCATTTTATTACATGGACAGACTCCGTGCTCCTTTCTTCACTACACTTGTGCCAGTCACCTGCTGAACTGGCACATCCTTTTGACACACCATTGGACATTGCCAAACTTTACCATTGTTCTCATAAGTACTCCTTCCCTTCGATGCTGGAAACCTTCAATGTTGGAAACTATCATTTTAAACCTAGGAAGTCAGACCCTGCCAATTTTCCTTTACAACTGGAAGGTCAATATGCAGTCATTCATTTTATATCCCAGGTTACTTGATGATATCACCTTATTTAAACTCCAATATGTACCTGGCCCAGAAACTACCCATAGTTTTACTCTGATTGGTGCATGTAACTCCTACATTGTATTATCATTACACTCTCAAGGAATGTTCTTTGCCAAGCATAGAACCAATACAGATCGCTTGGGTTCTGGGCTTCAAACCACACTTGACCTTTGAGATTTAAGTTGATTTTTTCTTGGCAAAAGAAAATGCATTGTTTAAAAAGAATAGGATTAGAGAGGCTCATAATGAAGACTTGTAACAACACTTCTTGAACCTCAGATATATCTTACAAAACAAAATGTTTATGAACTAAGTGTAAATGTTTCAGAAACATACGGATCAAATTTCCCCTGAAGTGCAAATGGATTTTAAAAATTAGCAGAAAAAGGGCTTGGCAAAAGATGTACTTTGAATGTCACCCAGTCCAGTGTATTTGAAATGAAGTTTAAGAATCTTGAAAAATCCAAACTGTGACTAGGTTTTCCCTGAGTTGGTCTCTTTGCCTCAATATCTCAATTGAGAATTCAGTGGTTAAAGAGGGAGAGAAAAGTCTTGATGGTTTTTTTTTTTAAAGGACTTGTCATACTCTTGGATAGCCAGAATGGGAAGTTAGAATTTGGCTTTGCAGAGTTTGTCTTTGTTTCCACTATTTTATGTTCCTCATGTTTCCTTTTATAATTGTTTTCTCAGGTTTGCACCTTCTGCTCCGTCTCCTCACCACATCAGCCCCCGGAGAGTTCCAGCTCCTTCTTCGATACTGCAGAGAACACAGCCTCCCCATACACAGCAGCCATCAGGTTCTCACCTGAAGTCCTATCAACCAGAAACAAACTCTTCTTTTCAACCAAATGGTATCCATGTCCATGGTAAGCAAGGAGCTCGTATCATGGAGTTTTGAAAAAGTGACATTGTGCTGTTGCTTTTAATCAAGTGTCTTAGTTACCAGTTGTGGATTTCAGATGTTCTTTTCTAAACAAGACTTAGGCTTTTATGACTTTCCTTTAAAATTTCACACTAAGTAAGGCATGAAATCCTACAGTATTTTCCTGGCTTTGGCCCTAAGATGATATGACTTATGACACTCCACACTAGTCAGCTGAAGGTGATGATCCGTTCGTTGGCTAGTGTCTAATACCTAGTGATAGCATCTTGTTCCTAAACAATAAACAGCCCATGTAAAAGGAAACAACAGGAGTCGTTGTGCCTAGACAATCATTCCTCTTTGCTCTTAGGTCTTTCCCCTCATTCCTGTATGCCCACATCCTCTCCATCCTTCAAGGCCCAGATAAAATGTTGCCTCCTTTCTGAAGCCTTTCCTGATCACTGAGCTGGTATAACTCTCCTGGCTATAAACTCTAATTGCATATTACCTGCCTCTCTCTGACAATATGTGTGCTCACTCTACCTTGTTATTTGCTCATCTGTAAATAAAACGTACCTTCACTGTTAATGTGTAAACGTTTATCTGATGTTAGAGTTTTCTGACTCATTGTATCTTTTAAGGAACTTGACATAGTTCTTCATGTGTAGTTAGGACACACAGATACTTGGCAGCTGAATGGAGGAAGAAAAAGAGAGAAGGAAAGCAAGAGAAATCATAATGATTTTTAAAATGTGCAGATCTTGTGTTTAGTGGGAAACATGCATGGAGAACTAAGTCTGGCTTAACTTCTTTTCTATACTTAAACCCATTTTGCCAATTTAGGCCCCATATCTTGGTGAACGCCCATAGAAAGTTGAATTGCCAAGTTATATAGACTCAAACTGTCATTACCTTTTACTTCCTGGGACGGTCAGAACTTCTGTATAGACAGAGGAGATACTGTACATTTATGCTGACTGTTTCAACATCTAAAACATATAACTCTTCTCCATCTTTCTCCTGCTGATTCCAGAATTTTTGCCCTATAAGTTATTACCTGGAATTAATGGGTAGTGTTCTCAACCATATCTAAACAGTATTCAACCTGAGTTTGAATGGTTTCTCAAGATGGCAGAATCGAGTGGTACTGTGGAGCTAGGCTTGGATGAGAACATCAAAGTAAAGGCCTGAAGAGCAAAGAGGAGGCTATATAGAAACTGTGTCTGGCTGTAGGAAGGAAAAGTCCTTGAGAAGCCAGGGCCCTGGTGCAGACTCCAAGTTCCATCTGGCTCCTCTCCCTACTTCCCCAGTGTAACCACACAAACCCTCTGTTCCACAAGAAAACTTGGACATATACTGTTCTTTGGACCTAAGGTAATTTTACCTTCTTCTGTCTATAAATTTCTTCTCAAGATTAAAATACATACTTATTCAATCAAGAAATATTTTTTGAGTGCTTATTACACACAAAGTAAGGCATGTGTAAGAAAGATAACTCAAGCCCTCTGCCTGCTGGCCCAGTTAAGGAGCTTATCTACTGCGGCAGAGACTCAGGTGCCCTGTGTTGTGAAGCCATCCTCACCCCTCTAGGCAGGAGGTGCACAGCCTGAGTGTGGGCTTTCTGTAATGCAGAGTGGGTTCTTGATTCTGTAACACACATTTTTCACCTTCACATTTTAACATCACTGAAATCTGGACATATCTCGCAGTTGGTGGCATCATATAATTGACAGTGATTTTCCTTTCTGGTGCTATCTAGAATAATGGAGCATTTCACAGTCGATGGTGTCATAGTTCTGATAAAATGAAATAAAATGCACTTTGATTACCACTGTGAAACACATTTTTAAAAATTTAAAAATTAACCTATGTGTAGAAAAAAAATGGAAGGAAATTCTCCAAAATATGAATGGTTTTGTATCAAGGTAGTAGGATCATGAATGATTTCTTCTTTCTAAAGAAGTTTTTTAAAAGGGATTTTGGGATTAGGCCAATTTGAAAGCAAATACTAGTTTACTCTGAAGTGTGTGATTTTGGATAAATTATTGAGTGTCAATTCATATTCATTCAATTGGAGAGTCTCATCTCTCTTCTCTCAGTTGTTAGGAGCATATGACAAGAAAAGTGCCTGTCACAGAGTAGGAACTTAATTAATTTAATGTTCTTCCTTCCACTCTCTTCTTCTTTGTTAATAGACTCTGAGAATAGGGATAGTGTTTGTAACCCTAGGTCAAGAATAATACTTGGTGCAAAGTAGGCATGAAGTGAATATTTACTGAATAAGCAATTGACAGTCTCTCATTTGACAAATGAATAATGAAACAAGAGGATACAACAAATGGAATCTACACTCTCATCTTGCCCTACCTCTTGGCAAAATACTCTTCATTTTTTAAGTAAATAATGAATATATTGCCAACTTGATGTTGTCGAGTTGTTGTTGTTTTTTTAACTTTTACATTTTAATTGTTAAAAAGTTGCTGAGTGTGGTTGCTCATGCTTGTAATCTTTTGGGAGGCAGAGGTGAGAGGATTGCCCAAGCCCAGGAGTACGAGACCAGTCTAGGCAACATAGCAAGACCTTGTCTCTGCAATAAATAAATAAATTAGCCAGGTGTGGTGCTGCATTCCTATAGTTCCAGTTACTTGGAAGGCTGAGGCAGAAGGATTGCCTGAGCCCAGCAGGTCAAGGCTGCGGTAGCCATGAGCATGCCTGCTATACTGTAGCCTGGGCAACAGAGTCAGACTCTGACTCAAAAAATTAATAAATGTATGGCCAGTGACAAACTGCTAACATCAACCCTAAAAGTAAATTCAAGATGTAGTTAGGCAAATTGAGAAATCATGACCCTCCAGGAAGACAGGCAAGTGGTTGCTGCAATGAGGTCGCAAAAGGAATGCCATCCATGTGGTAGCCACCAGGTAACTGCTGGGAAGTAAAGGATAGGGACCTAGATGCAGCTTTACTCCCTCCTCCAGGCATTTTTCTGAAAATGTTCTTCTGGAACTTTGTTGGCCCAAGCATTTCTCACCAACTACTCTTTAAGGTAAGGACAAACTGTACTGTTTTTCAAGCAGGTGATACAGTGCTGGGAGTGAGACAAGACCTCCTTAATGAGTTGTGTTTATTGGTCGTGTCTTTCAGCTTTTGTTGCATGTGTTGGCTGGATGGAGTTATATAGCATTTGGTAACAGGGAACTTCATCCCCTAATAAAACTCGGTTTTTAAAGCCCCAAGCAGCATCAGGGCTGCTAACACGATAGCAGCAGTGAGTGTTTGTTCTCTCTTTCAAGAAGTTCACAGCTTTAATGAGCGTCGTCACCCCCTTCTCCTCTGTACTTCCGGCAGTAGGTAGAGGTCAGGGAGAAATGTCATCACTGTATTTTTAGAGATGGAAACTGAAACATGTAAGAATACAAAACGTTTAGGCATTGCTACCTTGGCAAACTACACAGGCACCCTTAACAAGAGGTTCACATTTCCAAGACACATTCTTAATCAACAGCATGTTTCTAAGTGAAAGGCACACCAAAATAAATATGTATTTATGTTTTTTCCATGAGGAAATGTAAATGCCTGTATGTAGACACTGTTGCATCATATAGAGCCATAAAGGGTTAGAACTCAGAGGGGCTATGGTCTTAAAGATGAAGATGATGAGGTCCATTGAGTTCTGTTAATTATTCCTTACCAATTGACACTGAACCTAGACACTGTGTGCTCTATGTATATTTTTACTAAGAGGGATTTTTGTAAAAGACATCCTTTGAAAACATTAATAGCACCACTTTTTCAAGTTTCCTCACTTAGTGAATGACCCAAGACCAGTGATCAGTTTTGTTGATTCTGCACCCACTTCACTCATTCATATTGCCTTCATTAGTCAGGGGCATCAGGTATTGCTTCCTTTATTGTTTGAATGTTGATGGCATTTACAGGTCTTTGTTTGGGTGACATCTCCAAGGCAACTACTTAGTACAATTAAGTCCTTTATTTTAGAGGTAAACATACAGACACTCTTTCCAATCATGTAAGCTTGTTTTTCAGTCTTTTCTTTCTCACTAGTACAATTCTCTTGCCCAGGCAAGCTTCAGAATTTTGCCTGGATTAGTTGCCTGAGAGTTGATATTTGTGCATTTTGTTGTGTTACTAATGGATAATTTCTTTTTAAATGCCCTATTCACTCCAGCATATTTGTATGCCATGGGAATTCCTACAACAGCATTTTCACAACCGTCCTGCTTCTAGGCCCATCAAGAAGAAACCAAGTTCAGTTCAGCAAGTATTTATTGGTCACCGACTATGTGCCAGGCAAATATGAGTGTCATTTAATCTATGTGCTGTGAATCATGCCACAGTTGAAGTGAAAGGTGCCTGATTTATTCAGAAGAAGGTGTCAGAGAAGGGTTCAGAGTGATGATGTCTAAATAGGGTCTTAAAGACAAATAGCTCATTGGATAGACTAGGTGGGGAGAAGCGGTCCAGGCAGAGGGGAAGCAAAAGTCACAGGTAAGAACATAAATGACAGTGTGGCGTATGCATAAAGAGAAGAGCCAAAGGGAGTTTGTGTATGGCTGGAGTGCACATTTAAGCCGTTGAGTGGAGGAGGAGGAAGAGTCTGGAGAGCTAGCAAGACCAGCTCCTAAAGGATGTGTGTCATGATAAGTGTAATTTTACAGAATGATGCAGTCAGCCTGGTATCTTAGAAGAGTCATGTAGAGCGCCATATAGAGAATGGACTGAGAGAGGTAGAAACATGAAGCAGTCGATGTTGGGGCCACATGTACAGAACACCCAAACAGTGACTTAATAAGGAGCTCAGTTCACTTAGATGCAACTGGTGAATAGGGGAATGAGGTCAGGATAATGAGGAATTGTGTTTGTTCACACACTCTTTTCTAGACAAGGAATGCTGGAATAGCAAGAGAAGAAAATGAAAAAACCCTCAGCCAAGCTGCTTCACAGGCAGGAGCCCTTTCAGCTCGATTTTAATACAATTTAAAA